GTTTTCAGCCTCGCTTTTTTATCTCAGATATCAGTGACAATATTGTGACTCGCCAGTCACAAGTGAAGCATCTTGACGTCAGCCTTCAAGGCTCTGGTATACATGCTTTAGGACTATTTACCGCTTTCAGCAATGTTATCTTTCACATAACAGGCGAATTACCATATTCTGTGTGACCTTTCAAATGGTTAGACATGTGACAGGTTCTACAATGCTTATGACCGATTGACTGGGTCTTTAGTTGACTTCAGTGAATTCAATCTTTAAAATAATACTACTGCTTTGCTGGGACTAGAACTAAATCAGTTCATACGATAAAGCTATGACTTAAAAGAAAGATGAAATATCATCACTTGGTGTTTTACAACTTCATTTTGACTTCGAAATTTTGTGTTAGATGTCTTAAATATGTTATCATAATCTCCATACTACGGGGTCATCAAAATGCGTCACAAACTAGTATAATAGTACTGTAAATATATAGGGGAGGGAATGTCTTTGAAGGAGCTTACGCTGGTAATTTCACGCTGTTTAAAGAAGCAAAAAATATTACAGGTGAACTCCTATCACCTTGTAACTTTGTGAATTTAGTTTGATGATGGCACTTAAATCGGAACCGATAATTCAAAATATTGAAGTTACAATTAGTGTTCTTTTATGCTTAACCTAGCTTTCAAGACTATTAGAATATGGATATATGCTGTGACAGTATTCACTTCATCACTTTTTCAAAAATGGAAAGTGTCAAACTCTTCGGAAATCCTAATTTCATATATTCTCTGTCTCGATGCAAAGAATTAAAAGCGCATGATTTCATTTATTTTCGTGTAGTGTTACATTATCTACGTGTTTTAATAAATTCAGTAATTAGGTTTCTTCTGATTAACGGATATTGATCGAGATTTTTAAGTTATCTGACATAGAGAATAATTTGATGTCTTAGGAAGACTGTAAAATGTAGATTTTAAGTTGTATATGCTGGATTTGTAACATACTTGATGAGCTCTTTGTAACGAAATCTCATGGTTAAATACATTCCCGTATATTGGTCTCGACGTATTTATTTATTATTATTTATTTGAACACATATATTGGCACAGGAGTGCGCTAAATATATATGCACCACACAAAACAATGAGAATTTAAGAAGAAAAAGAAAAAAAGGTGGGGGAACGTACAAAAAAAAACAACGAAGAGATTGGTGTAAGGTAGTGTAATAATAATAGTAATAGTAGGTAAAAAGAAGGGTACAATTAGAAGAAATTTTTCAGTTAAGGAAGATACAACCACGTTTTATGAAGAAAGTAAAAGAAGGTTACAGCATGATCGCCACTGGCTTCTATTCTAAGCCATATCTGATAACGTCTCTAGCCACTGTCTAGCACCATCTCTCGGACCCCAATTAGGGAGTCGTGAAGGACCAACAGAAGCCAGTCCTTCGCAGCTTTCTTTCATACTCCGACACTATATCATAAACTGACCACCTCTCCGCTTTCTCCAACCAGTCCCAGAGTCGGCAAATAATGCACGACGTGGAATTCTCTGAGACGACGTTCGTAGAACATGTCCAAGCCACTGAAGTCGGTGTTTCAAGATGGTGACACCAATTGCATTATCGTCTGTGCACCCGAACAGACGATGCTGAACCTCCTCTGCATTACTAACATGGTGTTGCCACTGGATGTGAGCAATCCTTCGGAGACAACGATGATCAAACACAGAGTCGTCTAACGTCCTCAACTCGGAGAGACCAGGTTTCACAAGCATAGAGCAAAACTGTTCTCACCGACGCGTTGTAGATCCGACCTTTTACAGCCAGACTAACATCACGAAGGCTCCAAAGATGGCCCAGATTGGCATAAACCGCTCTGGCCTTCACTATACGTGCATTAATCTCATCACTCACACCCCCACCAGCACTTATGCAGCTACCCAGATACACGAACTTCTCGACTACTTCTATCTGCTCACCATCCAGGGTGAGTACAGAATTAGGATCCTGACAGTCTTGTAGAAGTACTTTGCACTTCGAAGGTGCAAAGCACATACCATACCTACGGACACTGATTGCCAACTGATTAAGTGCGGATTGCATGCCTTGGGCATTATCGCACAGTAAGACAATATCATCCGCATACTCAAGGTCGAGAAGTCTTTCTCCAGGAAACAGATCCACACTTCCATTACTTACATCCATCAGAGCTGTTTCCAGAATGTCATCGATGGCAAAGTTGAAGAGGAATGGTGAGATTGGGCAACCCTGCCTAACCCCACTGCTCGAATAGAACAATAGAGAAAGGTGGTTGTATGCCCTCACTCTGCCTGAGGTGCTTGTATATAGGGCTTTCAGGATGTTAATAAACTTCTCAGACACACCCTTCTTCAATAGACAATCCCAGAGAACAGTCCCGTCCAACGAATCGAAGGCAGACCTGATGTCACGAAACACTACGATTGTTGGCCTTTGACAAGTATGACGGTGTTCTAACATTTGGTGGAGGGTGAAGATATGATCAACACATCCTCTACCAGAACGAAACCCAGCCTGCTCCTCGCGAGTCAATCTTTCTCGGGTTTTGAACAATATACGAAGTATGACGGAAGCCAATAGCTTGGACGCAATCGGAAGTAGACTTATCCCCTGATAGTTGTTACAGGAACGACGTGAACCCTTTTTAAAGATAGGGACGACTATCGACTCATTCCATGACGTTGGTACACTCTATAGTTTCCAGACCTTTGTAAACAATGTCGTCAATTCCTTAGTCGAAAAGTCACCACCATCTTTAAAAAGAGCTGGAGGTAAGTCATCTGGACCAGGTGATTTGTAACGCTTCAAGAGTTGGAGTATCTTGCGGAATTCCTCCTCATTTGGTGGATCAGTCGCCACCGGCCATGGAGAGCAGGACAGTCTGACCGATGTTGCCGGAGCAGCAGGCCAGTTGAACTGCCCTTCGAAAAATTCTGCCCATCGTCCAAGACGTCGATGGATGTCAGTGATTGGCATCCCATCATCCTCGCAGATTGTTTCGCTCACAGCAGACTTCTTGCTGCCAGTGGCTCGGATGAGTTGGAAGAGCTTCCGGTAGTTACCAGATGCAGCTGCTGCTTTCAACTCATTAGCACGCTCCGACCACCAGGCTTCTCGGTCCTTACGCAAGCTTTGCCCAATTTCCTTACGTAACATCCTTCGTTTGTGATCAAACTCACGGTCACCCAGAGTAGACCGACGGGCTTCAATGAGTTGTAAGGAACCTGAAGAAACCCAGTGCTTATAAGCGGGACGTTTCGCGAACCCACAACTGACTGTACCCACCATTTTCATAGCGTCATGCAATTGCAACCAATGGTCATCTATACTTTTCGGTGGAATGGTAGCTAGCCTGGAGGCTAGCTCGGTTCGATACTTACTTACAACAGAAGTTGCAACCAGCTTGCTAATATCAATCCGTTGGTGGCGGTCACTTCGTTGTCCACTGAAAAGTAAGGTAAGATTGGCGCAGACCAAGGCATGATCAGAGTCCAGATAGGTACTCCAAAAGGAGCGGCAGTCTTGTACACAACCACGCCAGCGGTAGCTGATCGCGATGTGATCAATCTGAGTCCAGGCTTGAGATGCAGAGGGAGGACGCCAGGTGGCACATCGGCGATGACTGTGCCGAAAGTTAGTGCTATCCAGAAACAGATTGTGGTCTGTGCACAGTTGCAGTAGACGGTCCCCGTTATCTGTCCTGCGACCAACGAGTCCCCATCGGCCACCTAAACGACTCTCTTCTGTGCCTAGACGCCCGACCTGAGCATTCAAGTCTCCGGCAAGTAACTACAATATCTGTCGAACGCACTTTCTGGAGAAGAACAGATAACTGGTGATAAAACTCATCCCTGATTGCATCCGGGCTGCAATCTGTTGGGGCATAGGCGGAGATGACGAAGAGACATCGTTTCTCACGTCGATTTCTTCTCACTTTGATGGAACTCTCTAATCTAACTGCACATAACCGACTGTTAATGGGGATCCAATCGATTAGTGCTGCCTCAGCTCTAGCGCTTAGTGCGACAACAACGCCAGCAAGACCAGACAAAGATGCCACAAGGTCCCCGGATAGGCGCACGTAAAACAAACTTTTTGAAGCGACAGATGGAGATCGAATTTGTAGTACTTCACCAGAGTCTTGAATACGGGTCTCGGATAGACAGCAGACATCGATATTAAGACTTTCCAAAGACATAGCCAGTCCTATCTGTTGTCCAACCTGCATAAATGTGCGAACGTTGAAGGCAGCTAGTTTGAATGGTGCACGTGGTTTCAGAAAAACTGTTTCAGTTCTCGTATTCGGTGGTAACATACAATTTTCAATCGGATAATGACTCGAGAACGTTTAGATAGAGTCGAATTTCCACCAAAGTCGAGCTGTTGTAAAAGTAAAAAAAAGTATAGACAGAGTAGGAACAAAAGAGGGTGAATAATGACGTAATAAATAATAATAATAATAGTAATAATAATAACAATAATAGTAATCATAATAATAATTTGAATCACTTGATTGTTAGTCGAAGCAAGAAAAGTAGTTTCCATAAATATAGACAGTTGATCATTTGTGTATGGTCTGTGATACTGCCCGGGTGCCCACATCAAAGCAGGTGGTTTTCTGAGGAGGCCACACCCCGAGCCTTTGACCTCAAGGTCTAACCCACAAGGCAGTGGAGCATCGTGAGGAGATGCAGTTCCATGGTAGCCGGTGACCAACAATTGGTTCATATACCATTTGTCTCTGCAGGATACTGGAGCCCATGTGCACCATTGATTTGGTTTGGGATCCGCTTAAAGCGCCGGACATTCGCTTTTCGTCCTCTCATTTTCGTAAAGAACACCCCCGCCACGAGAAGGCAGTGAGTAGGACTTCCCTGGCAGAGGCTGTATACGCGCGGCCGTGTGACAGTATTTCGATAGGGAGGGCGAACCCACCCCGCTCTCGGCCATACCAGGGCATTTGGGAATTAACCTACTTAATTTTTGTGTGGATTTTTGTGCTTTTGAATAAACTAAATTATCCATCTCCCATTCTTCACTGATCAACAATTTTCTGATTAAGAATTGTGCTTCAATGGCTGCAGTGAGAATAGTACGTTTCCGTAATACTCTGGGACACTAATTGCTTATATCTTATACGAGTTATGTTTTTTTAAGCGTTCATCTGCTTGCTTCTTGGTCATCTCTCATATATTTTGCGAAGCGTGACCACTCTATCCGGAGAAATCCTTTATCGGATTTTTGACCATTTAGGGATAATCATTTCAGAGTTCTCAGGGAAATTTCTCTGCTTGTGTATTATTAAATTTAGATGGCTGTTAAAGAATGAACCAGCTCATCTAGAATAAAAGTAATTGAGGCTCAGTTATGAGATCGCGTTCGGTACCTCTGACTTATAATATACATGTACAAAATAATTTGTCTTTTCTTGTCTGTATTTCAGTAGTTCAAGGTTGTTGCAAAAACCTTGAAATAAATGAGAAATATAAAGCTAGGAGCTTCTACTTGTCCTTTATAATTGCTGTGTACCTTTTAACAGTTGAAGACAGTTAATTTTCTATTCACTCCGTTTCAATAATTTAATGTGCTAAGTGACTAGATCGTTCATAGTAGTATTTAGAAATCTGAATAACTCATTTTCATTCATAGATACATCGTATATTCATGGAAGACTTTGGCAAACCACCTACTGAACTGTTTGCCAGTTTTGAATATAAACCATTGGCTGCAGCTAGTTTAGCTCAAGTACACCGTGCTGTTACACATTATGGTGAAGAAGTTGCAGTGAAGGTTCAGTATGAAGATTTACGTGATCGATTTGATGGTGACATGTCAACTCTTGAGTTACTTTTAAAATTAATTGAAAAAATGCATCCTAATTTTGGGTTTGCTTGGGTTTTACAAGATATGCGCGTAAGTTTTTTAAAATCAAATTTCATATAGAAAAGATGAGTTCTTTTCATTCATTAAAATGAGCCGTTTTACAATGTTAGCTACGTCTAAGAACTGAAACTAATAACTTTAGTGTTTTACAAATATACTTTTTCATAAGTTGGTCCGGAAAAATGGTAGTAACATTCAACATTTGATTAATCCATCAATTAACATACAACTTATGTAATTAATAACTGCAGTGTATATTTACCAGTAGCGTTCATAGCTTGAATTCCACAGAGTCTGTTTTTGCTGGAAAGTAAATATCGCTTCCTCTTAATTTCCTCCTGGTTGGATAAATTTGTTTGGATGTTTCACAAATGTAAAGAAAACAGGGCATATTAATATCAAATGCAAATTAGTCGTGTAAAATATTTTATTTGAATGTAGTGACTTGTAAATCTGTAGAAGTAAAAGAAAAAAAATTACCACATAACTGGTGCAAAATTTGATGTATTCATTACATTTCATTAGTTTATCTCCAACCATATCAAAATTAGTATATATATAGTTTAAAATGTACAAGTACCAAGTATAATTTCGTGTACTAAGCTGTGAGCTACATATTTGTGTAAGAGCTTATTTCACTATACGACATCTGCCATGATCAAAGTAGATGAAATAGGTTTCAAATCGGTTATCCCACTGTTGGTTATCTAATATTTCTATTACTAAACCACTGCTCCAAAATAGAGTTTATTATGATTTTAAAATGAAGCATGCATATCTCGTTGAGGAATGTCACATTCATCAAAAGAATAAAGTTTAAATTATTAGAAAACTAGACAGTTCTACAGAAAATATGAATAATAACAGTCGTTTTGGTGCATTGTGTGTTTTTGCCAGTTTAAAAAACTAAGATAAGGAGTTCAAACGTCATTTCTTATGGCATTTACCATTTGTTAAACACTTGTTTTTTTTAGCAAAAGCAGTTTACTCGAGATTTTCACCCATGTTGACCAATCAGAGAGCAATAAATGCTAATGAATGAATTATAACATGATATATATATATATATATATATATATATATATATATATATATATCCTTGATCAATCAGCTTTTTCAAGTTGACTATAGATTCGTAAACGTTAGAGTTTCTAGTTAGGAACTAGCTTGATTGTCAACATTAAGGGTTAGTCTATACATACCCGCACTTATAATCCTAGTAATAAGCCTTACTCATAAAACCTAGTTCTAACCCTAATCTTAACTCATTTCTAATCGTAGCAGTAAGCTAAACTTCTTACTCCATCCATAGCTCTTAAAACAACTTCTAACCCAAACAAACATTAGAGAGAATCGTTGCTTCATCTCGCATTTCTGTACACTCATACATAGTCATTTCATTTTCGCATCCACAAGTGAATGTTCTCTTCAGCAGTCAAACGTCTTGTAGTTACCTAATAGTGTTTACCAAAACTTGGTCGTCAGATGATACACGTTCAACATTCTGGTTTGATGTGGTTGTACAAACGTCATTTTAAATTGATATATGAACTCCACGGCCTTGGAGTCTTCCTCCATCCTGATTGTATCGGGAGTATACTTCATGCTTATATACAAAGTTTCTTAATTCTACGAAATCGTCTCACCTATTCGTTTTTTTAAATTTTTTTAAGGAAACATTAGCCAAAGAACTTGATTTTGAAAATGAAGCAGATAATTCTGTTCAATGTTCTACAGATTTATCAGATCTTGGAACTTTAGATAAAAATGGCTCTGTTCATGTACCTTGGGTTGATCGTAAACTTACTAGTAAACGTGTTCTTACTGCTGAATTCATCGATGGTATTAAAATTAATCAAGTGAGTGATATTTGTAAGGCATATGTTTTCTAAACTTGTTACTTAAAATGTACCTTGCTGAATGTAGTGAAAAAATGTTTCAAGTTTTTATTGTTAGTAAATTGTTATTTTATGACCTTTACATATAAATAACAAGTTGATTTGGCACTCCCTTCTTGTTAAATATTTTACCTACAGTTTATCAAAAAAAAATATTGTAATCTATTGAATACTGTAGCATTTCATTTGTTTTGATTGTACTTTCTAGTTTCTGCGTTATACAAAACTATCATTAAATGAGGAAGTTTAGGAATGCGATCTCAAAAATTGTCGTCTCAAGTGCGGAATACATACCAAATTAGTTAAGATATCTCAAACTGTTTTGTTAACAGATCAAAAACCATGAAAGGATATCAACCATAATTTGTAACATTGGAGGAAAATGAATTTAAATTGAAAGCTATCTCTGATATCTTATGTACATAGTAGTAGCAATAATATTTTCTTGATATGCCACTGTCATTATTTGACAGCATCTATCTACTTGGATCGGTTCGCTGTCTTAAATTTTACGTAATCTTACTTCATGATTCACGAGTTGGGTTCACTCAAGTCAAATTTTTGTTTTAGATAGAGTAAAATGATATTATTTCAAAAACATGAATCAGTAAATGTAACATAATAATAGTCAAGTACATATTATATTCAAAATTACATAACTGTTCACTTGTGCCAAAGTTATGCCTGAATATTTATGAAGGGATTAATTGTTCTGTGGTCAAAACACTCGATGTTCAACCAGTGATACACGAATCTTAACCCTATCCCATCTATTTAGATTTAAGGTATCTGACTCATCATTGAAATATCGCTTAACTTGTCTGCTTTACAGTTTACATCACAAACTGACCTTAGTCAAACAACTGTTAAAAGCCAAAAAGCACTGGATAGCCATTTCGTCCTAGTATAAAGCATGTAAATGGTGAACTCTCGAGGCGTCATCGGAGACAGAACCTATAACCTTGAAATCTCACTACAAGCTCTTAACTTTAAGTTTCGACCAATTCGCCATATCGTAAAATCATTTTCCAATACCATTGATGAGTAACTGCCTCACATTCGACATATTTGAGCTTCACTGGTCACGACTTTATTTTTGTTTCATTCAATTGTAAACAAAGATAAGTGATAACTTTTCGATATGGTTTCTTTATTCTATTCAGGTATCTGCTCTACGTGATGGTGGTTTCTCTTTAGCTGAATTAGATAGTCTATTAGTACGTGCATTTAGTCATCAAGTATTTTGTACCGGTTTTGTACATGCTGATCCTCATCCAGGCAATTTGTTGGTACGACGTAAACCTCAGATTAAATTAAATGTTTTCCAGAAAATCAAATTATCCATTCACTGTATACCATACATCATATCTAGTGCAATATTATGGATTGGGTTTTTGTGTTATTTTCCTATTAGTATTGCACAGAAATTAAAAAATCCCAACCATAAACTATTTGCATATCCAAATACAAATCGAAATACTACTGAAATTCAGTTAGTACTTTTAGATCATGGTCTATATGATACGTTACCATGTGATAAGCGTAAAGCTCTGTGTAGAATGTATCAAGCTATATTAGACTCTAATGAGTCAACAATGAAAGAGGCTTCTTCATTTTTGGGCGTTGAAGGTAAAAATATTCATAATTTAATTCCTTTCAAATTCGTTTTAATTTATATTGGGTTATTCAAAGTGTTGTAGTGTAAATTGTTGTTAATTCCTTCATTTACTTTTTATCGTATTTGTTATGTGGTTAAAGGTAGTCATCATGAAACTCTTAACTTAGGTTTTGTGCTATTTGGGAGTCGCCAACAAGGTGTGCTTCTAATCCTGAGGGAACTGGTGCTCCCTAGAAAAATCGATCTCTCGTCATACAGCTTCACAGTCTGAGATGTTATCACTGAGTTATTCAGGCTGCAACTGACCTCTTTTGTAGGACTGAGGTGTTTATAATTGACTGACCACTGAGTAATGACCGCTACATTGTTTAATCTTTCGGTCCTAGTCAACAGAATTTGATTAGCATCGAAGGATTAGATAAATGTGATGCTGTCCACTACTCAGTGATTAATTGATTGTGTACATCGTATTTACTAGTATAATACTAAAGTTAACTCGTGTACTGATCAAGTCGTGATACTACGGATCATTGTTTAACAAACACTTGAATGGAATTTGTCACTATGCATCAACTTCCATGACTACGAGAAATCATCTGGCAGTGTGGATAGGAAAACGTTATGGAACTTTCTTCTATACTATTATGTACCTAAGAACATTGCCATTATCATATTGAATTTGTACGTTGACTTTGCCGCAAAGTCGTGCATGGAAAACAACTGATAAATCCATTCCAAGTGAAGACCAGTGTCTGACAAAGTAACTTACTTTCACAAGAAGTAATAAGCGTAAGTAACCAAAGTTAACTGACATAATTGAAAAGTAGATTGTGGATATTATAAGTTTAAAGATATGTGTGTCAATAGTTAAAGAACTCAGTTGACTAATTCAGCCCCCTTCTACACAATAAGCGTAACTCAAAATTAAGTACTTAAGATAGCTCCTAGCTACGGAGTTGTATTGAAACCTTTCAAATTATGTACATTATTTTGATCTCAATGTTATATTGGGTTCAGTATGTTAGAGTCGTATATATTAAGAGCTACAAGTACTGATCTTCTATCGAAATAAAATTTTATTGGGTCAAAATGCAAATTGTCGGTGAAAGTATCTGAAAGTTGTTTACTGAAACCAACAAACTATAGCTCCTCATTGTTCATATTCCGTATTTATTACAGTTAACGGTGTAATGTTGTGTTGTGTGCTTTCTAATAATTGTCTCTTCTTTTTTAAAGAAAATTTATTCATCCTTTCAATTTCTAATGTCAAAAATTACCGTATTCATATCACACTTAATGCTGAATATTTTCTATGTAGGCGTATAATGCTAACTTTTAGATATATGGATGAAAAACTCTATTGTTTCACTTAGAGACAACTAATTTACTGATATTACATTCGAATATTTTAAGAGTTGGTAAATTCTTTCTGGTTAATAAATTCACTTCTTACCATTCTACTTAGATTGGTCTACTTTTGGAGAAGTTATTCTACAAAGACCTTGGCGTCGTCAAACCTTCAAGTTACCATCTCAACTTTCGGCAGCTGATAAGGCTTATATACGAGCTACAGCAATCGAACATTTCGATCGAGTCATGTCAGTTCTTGAACAGATGCCACGTCCAATGCTTCTGTTTATTAGGTAAGTTTTTCATATCAAGGTGAAGTAATTAGAAGAATGTTCGATGTGGAGTATATAATTTTTTAAGATAAGTTTGATGGACCAGTTTATTCCGTATTATTTACAGTTAATTATTCGAATATTTAGCGGAAGTCTTACTACAGTCATAGACTCAACCAAGCAAATTATAGTCACGATTTCACATTGATGATATTACTCATTTATTAAGTACACGGATTCATGTATCCGGCTTTGAGTTATACTCTTTCTGTCCAGGTTACTTATACTTACCCCGTTACCCGAACAGAAGCTAGTGGGGTGGGACTCAAACCTGCGATCTAGTGGTTAAATGTGTAATATCTTCATCACTAAGCCAACTTTCTATATAATTGTGGACAAATTTTTTACTGTTGATATCGCACTAACTTCTTTGATTCGATCCACAGAATCATTTATTTAACTTTCATAAAAACTATCTCAAAGTGGCAGAAAGTAATTCTCATGGTAAATACTTGATTATCATCAGTTACTACTCTTGGAAGAATTGACGGTTACCACAATCGTGTTATCTCAAGTTATGACAGAATATATATACCTAGCACAAGGATTACCAGGTGCATCATGATAATATTACGACGGTCATTCATTATCATTTAACTGCGAGGCACAACACCTAACTGGGCGATTGGATTGTGTAGTTTATGTATTTACACTTATTCTGTAACCGCTATTTTAAATCCAAGTGCTAACTCAAAATCTTTATCTGTTTCAAACATCATACTTACAATAAGTAAGTTAAAAGTTAACCATCATTCTAGTTAATATGGAAATAGATCAAATGTGGTTAGCAATGGAATCCAGGACGCGCGTCTGTCCTATTTCGGACTCGTCAGCTGGATGCACCTGCATCCCATAGGTGATGTTCATTCCGGGACTCAAACCCAGCACTGTTTGCTTTGACCGTCACCATACTGAATTCATATAGTTACTTGCTTTTCCAACGGATATGAAATCTAATTCAATTTGAAATGGTTTGAATTATCCCGTTGTTAATATTTTTGACTGAAATTGGGTCAATCTTAGTTGATATATGGGCGTCCTATGTTGATTGCCTTAATATAGATTGAATGTAGCTGTTTAATATCAACTTTTGTCATAATGATTGTATTGAGACAATCTGTACAGGATGACATATATCAACTAAGATTGATTAAATTTCAGTCAAAAAGATCAAAAACTGGATAATTCATCCGTTTCAGATTTAATTACACCACTATAGTTGTTTAGTAATAGCTTTCATATAGTTAAGTGTATTGATACAGTTTTATTGTTAAATTATTAATTGTAGGAATTTAAATCTTATTCGTTCTATATGTCGTTCTCATGGTGATCCAATTGATCGTCACTCTCTAATGATAGATAGTGCTATTCTTGGTAGTAGAATTACAACATCATATTCTGGAAAGTTAATTCCTCTGTCATGGATTGATAGATTATGGGTGAATATAACACTTCAACGATATCACTGGAAATTAAAGTATGTTTTTTTATATTTATGGATTGTTCTTCAATTAGCCTTTTATGTTATCCTGTGCTCGTAGATTATTATTATTATGCCACGTGATTACCTAGTGTGGAATTTCATGTAAATGATTCGAAATCATGCTTAAACCAAGTGTGCTAAATAAGGTCTGTTGTTTTTCTATTAAACTGACTGTTCACAGTCATATATATAACATAAAAGTCCTTGGGAAACGTCACAAAAAACATATTGAAAGAGGCAACGAACCAATGACAGTTAGGGTCCTTCCAAGTAGGAAATACAATCTGAAGGCAAAAATAGACACTTTTGGCGCAAAAACGAGAAATTCAAATTTCCAAAATAAAATTACGAAAATAAGACGTTTCGCAAGTGATTTTTGGGGATTTACCATTCCCAACAACTTAATCATTTCAAACATCGAACTTTTAACTTGAGTCTGAGATCGAAGTTTGTATTGTAGGATATTCTTTCAATTGATATTTATTTTAGTGCAAATTTTTCCTCTGATTTATTACATACTGAGAATACATATTTTTAGCACTAATATTCACTATTACGATTTGTCAATTCTTACACATTACCTATTATTCTTCACTGTTTATTATTATTACTTCTTTGACTTTTGAAAAGATTTCACTATGGCATAGATAAGGAGAGAGTGTGTGTGCTGAAGGTGATTAGTAAAGTATATGGTTAATATTTTAATGTCACTACGAATAAGGTTGTTGATAGGCTTTTGAAATCTTGCAAACTACTACCAAATATTATTTTACCAAACATATAAAATAAAATAATATATAAAAAAAGTACAAGAAGCTCTACAATATTGTATCTAGCACATCTCCTATACTGCAAAGAGGTGATAAGAAAAGGATCTGCGAGACTATAATTTGTAGACGAACCAATCAGAAGCGGGCGAGCGATTTCAGGGTCACGACGCCCGTTTCAATACTCAGTGCTCACGTACTATCGGTTTATAACGGATTTCAAGGACGACTTCACAGTTGAGCGGCTACAACAGATGGGATTATTGAGAAGTTCTTTTGTTTGTGACTGCACTGTTCAAATGACTGCTGGACATTGTGCAACCTTGTTATGGCTCCAGAGGTCTAATAATTATGCAGTCACATGCATGAGTCCCTGTACCGTATGTATTACGATTTCAGAACCAAAGAGTCTCTTTCTAACCTTGGAAAGTTTTCGAACCGTGTTAAGGAAGTGTATTTACTCTAGTTTTTTTGGTTTTGTATAGTATATTCTTGCTCTATACTGACTGTCTTCTGATTGTCAGAAATTCCTCATAGTCACCTAAGATTCGTTCAAAGGTCGTTCATAAATTATAGTCTCGCCTTAAGAAAAACTTGTTGTAACATCATATACTGAAAATTTCATATTATATTGAACATATAATATTGAATAAAGCCATTATTACGGTTTATTATTAACTATTCGAACCTAGATAGATACCTCGACCGTTGTTGCTACCTTGACGTGGTGGTCGGGCTTACCTATCGTGATGAAGCAACCGAGCTATACTGACTGGGACAACTGTTCCTCAAGGTCCTACCACGTCAGAAAGGTCGGTTGAAGAGCGGTAAGACTAAGAGCAACAAACCCCAGGTCCGAAGGCGAAGTTGTATTGCTGACTGTACAGAGGTGTGACAGCAGTAAGGTGTTTCCTTCAGACAACCAACATGACAGCGATGCTGCCTTCCCACAAGGAGGGGTGGGGTTAGAAAAGGTCGACCCTAAAAATGCACACCTCGCCTTATCCCACGGATATCCGTCTACGGCGGTAAGGTCTCAACAAGTGCGGAGCTAACACAAAAATTACCCATAAAAAGGTCGTGTGTGACCGACCTCAAGCAGATGTCCCTTGGGCACTGCGGTCACGCTCCCAGGTCACTAAGACCACCTCTAATCCAACTTCCTTCTCAGGTATCTCCAGAAGAACCCTTCCACGGTGTGGGCAACCGGGAAGTGATAACCGCCCTCATACCTCTAACAGCACCCAAGACCACTGTATTCATAACAGCATCAGATAGATACAATTCAGTTCGTACCAGTGATCGTCTAGTTCACTATCTATAGTCTGTGTTGTTATGGTTACTAATTTTTATCTCTCTTTACTTTGTTTCATCCCATAGATATGAAACATTATATTTATGGATTCAAGGTTTGGTCTATCAATTATTATACGCTGTAGGTCAAGTACCTGATATCAATGAATTATCATCATTGTATAATGTTGCAACTCCTAAAGCGTTATCAGCTAACGTTTAACTCCTAATCCGATCAAACGCACACACGCACAGAGAAGAAGAGAACGCAGTTCTGTTGGAAAAAAGAAATAATCACATTGATTTTTGTTTCATTATTTTTAATCTCTGATTTCTTCCTATTTGTTTTGTTCTTAACCTTGTATCATTTGTAGATATCAAGACTAAGGTCGGACTTGATAACTTCAAATAAATTGTGCATTAGATAGAAGGTTAATAATAAATATATTTTTTATTATATCCCAACCAGTAGAAAAATTGTATTTCTGATGTTTCGTCACTTAATGTGAGCCGCTTCTTCGGTTATTTATTTGCTTTGAAGAAGTGGCTTATATTAAATCACGAAACGTCAGTAACATAATTTTTCTACTCATTGGGATCTAGCTTGTGTTATTTGTTTACTTTCTATCTTTGGTGTTTCTTTTTTTCTTTCGATGCTTTCTGTTTCGATGTTAGCAACTTGTCTCAATTGTTGGTGTGTGTGTGTGTTCATCATTTACACACAGAATTTCTGTAAATATCTTTCTATTGAACAGATGTAGATCAGTAGGAAAAACATACAATTTCATACTAACTAATTATATGGGACCATTTTTCTGCTTAAATAATGCTCTGTACTTATACATAATACTATTTTCATTTAGATTTACTGAGAACTTCGGCGAGACTATAATTTATGAACGAACCAATTAGGTATAAGATAACATGTCTCGGATTTTGGCGCGAAATTCACTCATCCATTTGATTAAATAGAGTTTTGACATTATAGATGATGTCAGTTTGTAATGGAAACCCTAAATCTAATTCCTCACACAAATTTATGACCCTCATTTGATCCTAGTTATTAGGTGGACACTCAAGGTTAGTCTAGCGTCGCTCAAAAGTCGTCCATAAATTATAGTCTCATCAGAACTTCTAGTTGATTCAGTATAGTATTGATGCTTAGTTTTTCTATTATATATATAATCATTTCAATTTGATGGAAAAATTCTTTCTTTTATTGATTGAATTTCTTTAAAATACACTAATAAACTTACCAACATTTATATTGAATACAGTCATCTGCTGAGAATGGACATGTTACCAAAAACAAGGGAATGTTTATCTGAAATATGAGCACAACATGAAATTTGTTTCATTCAAGTAATTTATTAGTGTATTTGATAAGATGTTTGTATCAATTGATCCGTACCTGTTATAACTTGTGGCTTTGTGCCCTATTAATATATAACGTAATGATACCACCAATTAGAGAACAATGATTTATCGACCGAACCAATGACTTATAAAACCCGTACGAGCAGTCTAGAGTCTTTATTGATCCTTCTTCCTGCCTAGTTCTGCCTGTTAACTCCAAAACACCAATCTCAGCCTCGGCAATATGAATTATGTATTTCAAACATACTGGGTTTATATAAAAACCAAACAGATTACATCGTACCATAAAATAGATAATAAAATTTGTACAAGATCTACCCAGAAGTGACAGTGAATGTGGGAGGCTGTAATTAATAGACTGGGTATAACTCAAGAACGGTAAATCATATCATAATAGTCTATGGGTCAAAACAAAGCTTTTAATAAAAGGAACATGAACATGCATAGCTTAGGTACTTAACAATTACACAATAATAATATATGTCAGTTTAGGGGTTGTGGAGATTATTAAGTTTTTGATTGAAATCATGAACCGATTGATGTTAGACCACCATTGAAAATCTGGAAGCACTGGGTGGCCGTCTCGTCCTATTGTGGGACTCCTCAGCAGTGCGCATCCATGGATAACAATATATGTATCATATTGGTTTATAAATAGTTCTCAAAAGTTACCACTCATAATTCTCGTCGGGATATAACAACCTTATTGGTGGTGGTAATATGTTTATGTGCACAACTAATTGTTCTGGTTTTAAGTTTCCGAAAATATACCTTTCAAATTTCAACCTACACAACACCTTAAGAATACTACATTTCGCACTTTCTGATTTCAATTTTGACATATAGTACATTAAATCTCTTTAGTTGACTACTTTTAGCTTCTCAGTACAGGTAGAAATCTGTATTTTAAGTAAATATTAACCTAGTTTATATGTTATTAAGGAATTAGTAGCTAGAAAATGGTATACTTTCAAAATAATCCGTCGTAGTAATTTATATTTGATCTGACATAACATCATTTATCAATCATCATATGCTATGTTTGAAGCGATTACGAGTTTACCTAATCTGAAGACGCAATGTAGACTCTGTAACAATAACAGATAAGCTAGCTATTCTGATGCATCTCAACCCGGCTAACTAGAGAGAGAAGTCCAAGTTCGAAATGGCGAAATATATTACACAAGCAGTCAGACGCATGAGTAATAACAACGGGCATAAATCAAACGTATACATACAGCACAAAATTGTCTTTGGGAAGCGTTACAAAATAGCATACTAAAAGATATAACGGGCTAATAATGTTTAAAATTCTCCCAAGTGGGAAATACGATATGAATGTGGAAATGAGCGCTTTTGGCACGAAAACAAGAAATTCAAATTTTTAAAATAAAATTACAAAAATAAGGTATTTATCAAGTGAGTTCTTGGGATCTAACATCTTCAACATCATAGTCCTTATCAAAATATTCTCTATAATATCTCCGAATATTTTATCGACAGGATATTACTTATATGTTATTGAGTCTAATTCCCTTCCAAACTTTGTGAATTATACAGTCGAACAATCTAAGTTAAGATTAACTAGTAAAATATGATATATATCGTATGTTTTGTACATAACTGACTAATTTTGTATTGTGCATAAATCGATCCGAGTATGTATTTGTGTTAGTACAACTTGTGTTATCGAAATCTAGCAGTTGACTAAAGGCACAGAAAATAATTGTCTGTAGTCAGTAAATTTAACCTATCCTTAGTTATCAAAGTGACCTGACTATTACATTATATCAAGCTGATGTCTTAATTAGTTATATGGTTTATGGAAAGCTGAATGATATGACTTTTATCACTGTTATTTACTTAAGTCACAACCGGACACCAATAGCAATACACGTAACATAAAGTAAAACTATCGTGAGTTTAAATATTCTGCGCGTGCCCATTGTGGAACAGTCGATTATCTTAGTGAGACGACTGCCAAGCCTTCGAACTAGAGGTGTAATCCATAAATGAGTGGAGTAACATCAGGAGATAGCGTCCCATGTTAACATTTGTTGAAAATGGGTTTATACCCCATAAATTCCTTTAGGATCTTGAAGTCCGTATGTGCTATCGATCTAGAGTCATGATCTTCCAACTCTCGTAGTTGAATTCTTCCTATTTGTCAACCCGTATACAAATTAATTCAACTATCCGAGATAAACGTCTGACCAATATTCTCGCAAACTGCAGATTTGTTAAAGGATCATACATTGTAGTATCATTGCTTTAAGGTCAGCTTGTAAACATTCACATGACGTGTGAACCAAAGTGAACTGTAAAGCCATAAACATCATGGGTCTTTGTATGAATTTTCGCTCTTCTAAATATTTATAAACAGGTCCTCAAGTTTACACAATGTAGCAATTAATTCGAATATGAGAAGTCGTGAACCTGTTATTCACTTCACTAAGTTTAATCCTTTCCCATTACGAGAAAAAGCGAGCTATCAAAGTTTTTTTGAATTAGTATTGCAATGTTTAAACCAAACATGTATTTAAATTTGATCTGATGTTTGACGTTGAAAGAATTCATACTACTAATAACTTACTAATTAATCAGCACGAGTGAAAATATCCACATTGGGAAAGTTGTTTATTAGAATTGGAAATTTAAACCCATAGTATTCAGCATTAAATGCCTCCATCAACAGTATTTAAATTGTTGTTGAGTTTTTTTCACGTACGCCAAGCTGATATACCTACCTACGTTTTCTCTACCAAACCTGTCACACCACTGGAATAAATAATTGCGATAAATCAGAGAGGGGTTTTGTGGATATTATAGTGATTTAATAGTTGAATTCATGAGACGATCCCGCCACATGAGAGTCAATCCCAAGACCTATCGATCTCGCGCGCGAACGCGGTGAAAGTGAATTTATGTAGCTATAAAAAATATCTTGAAAAGCCAGTCGAACACCAAGTACGATTGTTTTATGAAACTGAAGGAGGTTTTCTCCATTTGTCAGTATTAGCTTCAGAAACTAGGAAATATCAAAGGCCGTTTCGTTCTAATTCCCTACTATTCACCAATAAGCTACCAGGACAATACATAGAATCGAACACGGTATTTGTTGAGACTAGATGCTCGTTTGTATAAAGAATAGTCCAACGTTGTACATAATTCCACTAAACAATTTAGTCACCAATAAAATTATTTATAATACTTAGGTTTCTGGTTCGCATATTACCCCAAACATTTTCGAAATATGGGACACTGAATTGTTTTCATTCTTTATGAACTTTTGCTGTGGAATTTTCATTCCCAAACGTGGAGCAAAAAAGAACCAGTCTCAATATTTCAGCCAACTTATCTGAAACAATCTGTAAATAGTGCTGCTAGTATGAAAAGAATAATCTTACACTGAATAAGCCATTTCAGTGTATTTGGTCGTGTAGGGTCAGTGAAATGTCACTGAGCCCTAGCCAAATCATCCGGCAGTTAGGTCACTGAACATCCAACAAGTCATCGATCCTCGTCAAAGTCAAAGACAATCAACGCGCATCAGTTAATCGTACGCCATGTACTGGCCCATGCGGCAGTGGTCTTACTTTCGCTTGTATCTACCTTAACTAATATATTTCTATAATAACAAACTCTGTGTTATACGGTCTACAAAGCAACCATAGTACTTTGATACATCGAAGGGGTAATCTACGTTAGATACTGACCGCAAAGTGTGAATTCAAAGTTAGCCGTTTTGTCACACCACTCCCGCCTAACTCGAGTAGGCCTCCAATCATTCGACATAGATCATCTACGTTGGTGATCTATAGTCCGTATTAAGACTAGGTCGAGTGACATCCATATGTACGAGCTGTTTAACAGTAGTATTTGAGTTCAGAACAATTGAACAGCACCATATGAAATAATATCTACATCGAGTGCATGTCATCATTTATCAATGAACAAATTTTGTTGTTTTAATCTCATTATTAAACTAATCAAATTAGAACAATTCAACTTATTGATCAACATATTTAACACCTTGAATAAATAACGCGTTTTATATAACATAAAAGGGCGATATTATTATAAGTGGAAGAACCAATCAGATTTAAGATAACATGTCTCGGATTTTGGCACGAAATTCACTCATCTATTAGACTAAAAAGCGTTTCGGCATTTAAGCTGATGTCAGTTCGTGAAGAAAATGCTAAATCCAATTCCTAACCCTAACCATCAAGTGTATATTAAAATTCTAATTCCTCATACTGATTTATAAATCTCATGAAGTCCTAGTTAGTAGGTGAACATTTTCAAAGTCATTTTAACGTTGCTCAAAGGTCGTTCATAAAATATAGTTTCACCCATGTCATTCCATTTAGATAAACAACTGATATAAATTATATCCGTCAATAGGTCATAGGCAGCATTGAATAATCGAGCCAAGTATCTATAGTTGTTAGAAGGACAATTACAAGATAAATATGTATTTCGCAGTCCGGGCCTCTATTATTTCCATAGCAAGTAGACATATATTAGAAACTATTTGTAAATCAAGGAATCGGGAGTGATCCCGAATAAGGGATTGTCACAGAACTGTGCATCTGGTATTGACCTGCTAGGTAGTCGTGGTACCTGCCACCTTGCATCAAGCGTTGATTGATAGCCTAAGATTCAGAGTAACAGTTGACGACGCCTCTAGGCAAACCGACACCCCAACCCGACTGCACACATTCACAGTACGAACGGAAGTGGTGGACACTACGACCACGTACTACGAAATCCGCGATTCCACTATACTCATCGTCCCCAGTGACCATGATGGAGAGTTGACAATACGCCAGGAAGGCGGAATCGAACCGCTCCGACGCTAATCGGCTACAGGTTTGAAGCCTG